TGGGGCCCACGATTATTTTAATCGCTGGCCCCACCCCTTGCATGGCCCCACCCCTTGCATGTGTGAGGACTGTGAAACTTGTTGTGAAACTTGATGTTGCTGTAGCATCTCTCATCAATAAAAGCATGCTGTAATATTTGACTAATGGGTAGACGGACTTCAGAATTTCATAAGAGGAAATTACATTTTGGAGGGAATTTTTTTTTTGACGTCACTTCTAATTTTATATAGATATAGATATAGATGAATCCAACCAATAAACACACACAGACATTGTAGAGAGAGAGAGAGAGAGAGAGAGAGAGAGAGATGAATAATGAATTTGGGAATTAAAAATGGTGAACAAGCATTTTCTGCATTATTTTTCATCTCAAACGCACACGGGTTCTTCTCTCTCTCCCTCTCTCTCACACACACACACACACAGCATTTTTCTTGGTTTTTAATGTTTATTTGAGTTTTTCAATTTTTTTGTTTTTTTCCACTGCACATGCACTCCTCTCTCTACGTACATTTTCTATGTTCTCCAAAAAGATTCTTTCAGATCTACAGTGAAAAGTTTGGCCCTGAATGAACTTGCCCTGCCCTTCTGTTCTTCTTGAACCAGAGAGGATTATAATCAACAATTCATAAAAGGTCAGATCTCCAGTTAATTTGATTGATTTTTCAATATGGGTTTATGGGTATTTATCATAATTTTGTCCGCAATGTATTTGTTTCATAATTAGGATAAATAATTGGAATTGCTCTTTGAATTTTCTGTTGATTTCATGTTTCTTATTTGAAAATCTCTTGCCTATTTATAGGTGGGGAAGATTAAATTCTGTGAAGTTATTCAGTTCTAAAATCATCTATTCTGACTGATATGATTATCAGGTAATTTTGATCTTATGTTCCATTCAAAGTTTGAAACCACTACTAGCGATCAAGTCTGCTAATGGGTTTTTGGTTCTTGCAATAGGTCCTAGAAGAAGAGGATGTCTTTGAAATTGTTCAACAATAATTTTGTCCTCCATGTTTGTAATGAAATTTCTTGGTTTCTCTCGTCTCACGAGGGGGGAGTGAGGTCAGATCACGTTGTGCTTCGAGGGAAGATTGAATGCATGGAATATCTTTGTTTGTTTTTTTGTGTACATTTATAGAAAATTCGGCGGTACATTATTACTTGAATGCACAGCCTTAAGTAGTGTGATTAGTAGCATCTTCACTCACGAGAGATTGTGGACTCATCCATGAAGCTCCTCGAATTTTATGTTTTATATGTTCTTTTTATTGGTTTTATTAATACTTTTTCTTATTGCAAAATCATTTCGAGTGTTGATAGTGGAGTAAACTTCATCTTTATTCTTCCAGCATAATGTTGCATTGAGAAAGGATACTTTCAGGGTACTGGACATAATTTAAAGTAGTTAAAATTTTGTCTGCTCTGTTTCTAGTCCAGTACAGTATGCTAAACATGTCCCTAATGAATTTCATTGAGTAATATGGGCATTTATTTCTTTGATGAACTGAGAAAATAATTTAGGCATTTCAACTTAACTCTCGACTATCATTTTTCTGTGCAAACTTCATTCTGTTCCAACAGAAAAGAAATCCTGGAAAAATTGAGGCATCAAAGTACTCCATAATTTGATAAATCGAGTGTCATATATCAATGAAAGGTGCAAAATTTTGATGTTTATTAAATCGGTAGTAAACTTATATAAGAGTTGCCTGTGACAGAATCAGATAGAAGGGACTAAAATTTGTTTGTGAAATGGAGACGACTCAACTGGTAGAGACAGATATTGTCCTCTCTTCAACGTGGCCGGAAGATATAAATGAACCAGGGAGGCAGTTCAATGTAGAAAGGCCAGGAGCCGATCAAGATATATTGGAGGAGGTTGCAATCAACGAGGAGCCTACAATAGTGGATTTTAAGCATCTTTCAGAGCTTATGGACTACAGTGAGAAAGGTTCCTCACAATTGGCCTATCTGGTAAAGAATTGGGAAAATAAGCAGGAAAAAGCTGTAAGGCTTCTAAGAGAAGAACTCGATAACCTTAGCAAGCAACAGCAAGAAGTTGAACTCAAGAAATTAGAGATATTGGAAGAACATCGTATTGAACCAGATAGAAATGGGGGAGATAAGCGTCCAATTTCAACTTTGGATGAAAATTTACGATACTCCTCAGAGAAAGAATGATGTTATCTTCCAAGATGAAATGTCAGGCATACATGTAGAATATGACAGCACAATCTACTGGAAACAGCGAGCCATGCATTTAGAGAAGTTGTTAGCGGCAAGTCTCCAGCGAGAGCAGGTATTGCAGGAAAAATTGCATGAAAGTATAGAAAATCTTGAGAGGCAATCCTCCCCAGTAGAGGAATTATCCCAACTTTTAAAAAGAGCGGATAATTTCTTACATTTTATCCTCCAAAATGCACCAGTTGTACTAGGCCACCAGGTATGTTGCTTGAATAATAATCTTATATTATTCATTTAACTGTTTGACATTTCTGCATGAGAGTTATGTAATATGGTCACTGGATGACAATATTATCTGTTCTTCTCTTTTTTTTTGTTATCCAATTCTTCTGTTCTCTATTTTTTTCTGGGACAAATCTTCTATGAAGTGCTTCAGTTCTTCTGCTGGCTTTAGTTATCATAATTAAAATCGTGAAGATAATTAATTATTTTCATGTGATGAAAGGAGGCACGCGTAGTAAAGAACAGGACTTAATCATTTTCTTTATTTCTTTCTTACGTTCTGTTTATAACTTTAGGCATGAACAATGTTGTTGATCTTAGCTTTAAATGGTGGATTAGGCATTACAATCTGCTTTATCAAATTTATGAAACACTGCGAGTGACCAAGTGTTCTATTATATTTCAGGATAAAGAACTGAGGTATCGCTTCATCTGTAATCAATTCCCAAGTTTGCGTGAAGAGGTAATTCAATAAAAAATAATTTATTTTGATGTAGTTTATAATTTACAATTTCATTTTTTGAAATTCCAATCAGTTTATCCATGGTGGTGGCCGAACTTTTGTCCTTTATGAAGAATGGGGCCCCATATCCATTACTTTCATTTAATTTTATATTTGCTTTTCTGAATCACTATTTTTGGAAGCTGGCACATTAGTTCCTTTAAGTGATGGAATTTTCAGGATTTCATAGGAAAAACAGATGTGGAGATTTTCAGTGGTTCTGGTATGAAGGAATCTCAGGACTTCAAAAGAGAAGTTTTGGAGCGAGGATTACCTGCAAAGAGGGAAATTACGTTTGAGACAGAACTTTTTGGCTATAAAACTTTTCTAATTTACGTGGAACCAGTGTTCAGCAAAAAGGGGGAGACCATTGGAATAAATTATATGGGAATGGATATAACTGATCAGGTGAATTTCCGGTTTGAAGTAATTATATTCTCCTACTGAAGTGTATCAGTTCCATAAAATCAGAAACTTGATTTGTCATAGCCTGAATGTGAATGATAACTTGATTTAAAATAACCATCATGAAATTCTGATTTCGTATACTAAAGCTTTGGTCTTAATGAGTTGTAATGGCTACTATTTACAGGTGAGGAAAAGAGAGAAAATGGCAAAGCTTCAAGAGGCAATGGCTGTACAAAAAGCCAAAGACACAGAACTCAATAAAACATTCCATATAACAGGTTCATTTTAACTTTTATGAGTTGTAATGGCTATCACGGAATCAAAATAATAATATTGTTTGCCGATTCATTACCAGCAAAACAACTTCTAGCAATGATGTCACAAGAGATAAGATCTCCCTTATCTGAAGTTGTTAACATGGCCGTGATCCTTTCCACCACTAAACTTGATAAAGAACAACAAAAGTTATCGAATGTGATAATATCTTCTGGTAATCTGGTTCTTCAACTAATAAATGACATCCTTGATCTTTCCAAGGTGGATTCAGGTGTGACCTCAATCCTTTTTGCTAGTTTTTCTGGTTTCGCTTGTATTCTTACAGTATAACATGGATCTTTGCTGCGAATATATAGAGTTACAATAAAGTGCCAAGAATGAGCTTGGTTTAAAGCATGTTTAGCTAAGCTTGAAAAGTTTACTTATAAGTAAACAAGTTTGATTTAAAAATAAATAATTTTCTTATTGTCGAAGTTGAAAATAAGTTCCTTATTTTGAAACAAAGATAAATGTTAACTTCTTAATTTAAAATAAGTAAGCCAAACATATTTGGAAACAAAACGTTTAAAGAAACCTTTACTTGTTTTCAACCGTAGGCAAACACACTCTTAATCTTTATCCATTATTTACAGTTTTCAATTCTATAAGAAATTTAGGACATAGTTAATCCAAATCTCACGACAGTTACCTCAATTTTGTTTTGGAGTCATGAAATTGGAAGCTACAAAGTTTAGGCCGAGAGAGGTTGTAAAGCACATCCTGCAGACTGCAGCAGCATCACTACAGAAATTATTAACATTAGAAGGACATGTAGCGAATGATGTCCCCACAGAGGTGAGGAAGCTACCCGCTTTATGTTGTCAGTCGATCCAAAAGTTAATAGAGTCGGAAACTCTGCTTTCTGTCTCTAGATGGATTTTTTATTAAATGCAAAATTTTGATTCCAGGTTATTGGAGATGTCCCAAGGTTTCGGCAAATCCTCACCAACTTGATCAGGTACCCAATAGCCTAATTTTTATTTTTTGTATCATATGGTAATATACGTTCAACATAAGCAAGTGCTTCATATTTTAGTTGGTGAAGTATGATTTTATTTCTAAATAGAGGATAGCTCAATTGATTGGATTTAAAACGTTCGAAGGTTTTTGGGACCATATCTTGTCTCATTGAATTTTCACAATAAATTTAGCCCATGTTTGATGTCCATTAAAAAGAGTTTTCTGGGGAAAATGAGTTTTGAAATAGTGATTTTTGGAGAACGTGTGATTAAGAAGTAAGAAAAATTTTTGAGTTATGTGCAAAATATTTTATTGTGAAAATGTGTAATTGAAAATGAGTTTTACAAAAAAAAAAAAAGCGTGTTTGGAGAATGGTAAACAAACAGGGGCTTAATTGATGTTTATTTTCAGTAATTCATCCATCATTGAAGGGTAATAACTATGATATTTACTAAAAGAAGATATTGACGGTTTACTTTCGAACATATATTTTCGGATCATTGTGGTTATAAGCCTTGAAAATTCCAATCAAGAAAGTTTCTCTCCTTTATTTGTTTATTTACTTTTGAAAACAGTTATAATCATGATTACAATCAACTATCTTTGTGTTTTCTTTTCAACTTGTTCGACTCTTCACACACACACACACACACACTTGAGTAAAGGCAAATGTTTGGTGTCCTTTTATTGCATACGAACTCTATCAAATTTTATGTGTTTAACAGCAATGGGATCAAGTTTACTCATGAAGGCAAGGTTGGTATAAAGCTTTATGTCATAGCAGAGCCACCTAGTGCAATCAAAAAAGGATCTGATCAGAAGATTTCTTCAGATCAATCAAAAGTTTTAGCAAATATAAAGGAAGACGATAAATGCTTATCAATTTCTCAGACTATGGGTGATCAAATTGGTACTCAGAGACCTAAAGATGAAGAAGATACTTGTGGAAGTGATACACTTAAAAATGAACCAAATGGCCCAATAAGAAACGAGACAATGATGGAAGAAGACAAAGAGAGCCTTCTCAATACTCAAGAAACAGTAGTGTGGATATGCTGTGATGTCTATGATACTGGGATCGGAATTCCTGGTATATACTCAAATTTTTATTTTGCATGCATGGACGTATTTTTTTATTTTGATAGTAAGGTAAGTGTAACTTTCAAAATAAATAAATTTCTTTACTTAAAAGAAACGAAAAAGTAACTTTTCTAAACATGTTTGGAAATAAAAAGTGTTTAGTAACTTTTACTTATTTTTAAGTTCAGTTGTGCACGGTCTTAGTGCAGATACTTACTTTCTGTAGTTTAATTATTGTTGTTTGATTTAATTGATGGATGTCTATATTAATAGTGGATATGACCTTTCTCAATCTTGGTGCAACAGAAAGTGCTATACCCACCTTGTTTAAGTACGTGCAAATAGGTGCAGATACTGCTCGAGAGAATGGTGGGACTGGATTGAGCCTAGCAATCTGTAAACAACTGGTAATCTTTCATGGCCTTCTGCTGCACTTTTTCATAATTTACTTGTCTAAAAACAAAGCATAAAGTAATTAAACGTAGAATTATGAAAGGAATTTCACTTCAATAAATAAATGTTCGTTGTGAGTTGTTTATTTACTTGTCTAATATACATGCTTTTTGATTATATTACTGAGAGGCAAGTATTGGTTTTTTCAACATTGATGTAGGTTTTAGATTTAGTATTCACCAAGGTGAAGCTTTTGGCAGGTAATACCACAAACATTAATTATTGTTCGTGTATGAACAGGTTGAACTCATGGGTGGTCATCTCACTTTATCCAATAAAGAGCACTACTGGTCAACTATTACGTTCGTACTACCTTTTAAGGTTTCGCCAATGTATGATAGTTCCAATGAAATGTCTGATACGGCCAAGCGTGATGTCCCGGAAGATGCAAATGACGATGATTTACATTCCAATATTTTCCTGTTCCCACCGCAATCTTTGGGAAGAAGTTTTGATTGATAAAAAGATGAATCTGTTTCAACCGATATGTCCTTAGACACAGTAAAAATCAAAAAATGCAATACTCAATTAGTATGGAATTACTTTTTAAACACAAGGATGCACACTTAATATGTTCAATATCTGAATTGTCTAGTTCTCTTGTTGAAATCTTCCCACTATTTTGCAGTTGACGATACTTACATGGGGCTCTTATAGAATCATGAATCGAATATTATTTATTGTGACTAATTTTCCTACATAATTAATAATACTAATTGAAACTCTGTACGATAATTAAATTTACCGAATAGTTCAGACCAAAATGTGGAATTAAAGCAATAAGTCATTTATTAATGTCTCTAGATGATTAAGTTTAATTAATCTTATGTATCAATCAAATAAAATAAATAAAGATCAAAAGCAAGAGAAAAATGACAATTAAAAATATATAACTAAGTTATATAAAACAACATAAGTAAAACGCGCGTTACACCAAAGCATGCCATACTATGTGTAATTAAGAACTTAAATATAACATATAGAAAGTTGATATTAA